ATTGGGCACGCCGTGGATGGAGAGATGAGTGCAACTACAAATAATAATACAATCCACATGCGCTACTACAGACGCATGCCATCAGACTGTCCGAACGGCCGATAGATGCGGTCTACACTGGGATCCACGACGGAGATGTGGTTTGAGGTAATCCCAAATCCAAGTGCACCGTGGAAGCGCGTCGTACGAGCTGCGCGTTCTGCTGTGAGTCTCCGCTCACTGTCTGTCAGCTGTGGGAAACATCGCACGACGCGATGCGCGCTGGGAAATGAAGTCCGTACGCACGTGACTGTAGGCTAATGATAGATAGATAGATAGATTTTTAAAATGAAAAGTTATTTAAAACTAATTTAGACATTTCATTTATTGTTATAGCCTACATAATATATTTTTTATTCAGTTTTTTTACCATGTCTGTTTGCTTTAATAACTAAGAATTAAGTACTTTTAAAAAGTACTTAATTCATATTTTGAATAATATTCCCTCTGTAGAGAACTGTTGGATCCTGTTATTAAGAAAAGACACTTTAACCAGTAATTATGTTTTAAATTTATTTTTTGACATATTAAATTAGTTTTGTAAAGTAAGTTTGTAAATGTGATTACAAAATGTGATTACAACCTTATACATGATTTTTAACGACTAAGAGAAAACTTCTGAATAAAAGATAGATTTTTAAAATGAAAAGTTATTTAAAACTAATTTAGACATTTCATTTATTGTTATAGCCTACATAATATATTTTTATTCAGTTTTTTTACCATGTCTGTTTGCTTTAATAACTAAGAATTAAGTACTTTTAAAAAGTACTTAATTCATATTTTGAATAATATTCCCTCTGTAGAGAACTGTTGGATCCTGTTATTAAGAAAAGACACTTTAACCAGTAATTATGTTTTAAATTTATTTTTTGACATATTAAATTAGTTTTGTAAAGTAAGTTTGTAAATGTGATTACAAAATGTGATTACAACCTTATACATGATTTTTAACGACTAAGAGAAAACTTCTGAATAAATAAATAGGAACTAGGAATATTTCAAAATAATTTTGTTTTTACCTATTTAACTGCACATGCAGTCAATCGTAGAGGACACTGAAGAAATCAATGTACTTGTAAACTCTTTGTTTATATTTACATAAAATGTGCTGAATTGTGGTGTCAGATATTTTGGTGTGTTTTTAAAAAGGAAAGGAAGTTGTCATGGCCAAATCCCTGATCTGAAACGTCCAGGAAGTCCTCTTCATGATACGACTTCAAACTGTGTCATATATGGTCTCTTGGAAATAAAAAGCAGGATATTTAATATCTTGGCAAATCTGAGCACAGTTTAACACATTGTTGAGATCTCTTCTGAGGAGACACGTCCAAAATTACAAGACACATCTGTGAAGCACAAGACTCAAACCAAAACTCATATTTGTTCCTAAAAATACTGTTTAGGAAAAACAACTGCAATATAAATGGGATTTTATTCGTGGTTTTTCTTTCCTTAGGGTGTCCTCGGCTCAAACAGAGGGACTTTCACATCTTAGGGTCTAGAATGCAATAAATGAAGGTGGAAATTCACCCCTTTGCTTGCCTTGTGCTTCCATACAAGCACTAGCATGTTTAATCACATTTATTAAAATGTAAAGGGGTTAGAAGGATTTCTCATCTCACTGTGAGGGTGTGATGTTCCCTCACATCAAACGCTCAATCTGACTACTGAGTCACTCTCCAAACCTCACCTCCTCTTCCATCTGTCCTCCATCTCACTCTCTTTCTCTATCCTTCCATCTGTCCTCCATCTCTCCATCTGCGTGCTGCATAACACTCTACATCCTCCCCTTCAACACATACACACACATCTCAGAGACAGAACATTATTCTAGGTGTCCGCTGAGGTTCGGTTTGCATGGATGGATTATAGTCCAAACCGGTAATCTTCAAATAATGAGAAAGAAGTCTCAATTTGCAAATATGAAGAAAGTCGCAGTTGAGTAAAACAAGGCCTTAAAGTCTAATCATGAGTGTAATGTATTAAAAAAGAGTCCAGAAATCTCCTTCATCTCTTTCACACATTGTGATCAATATCGATTTCTTCTGCATAGTTTATTTCCAGGTGTTGGCCCACTAGCCCAATCTGTATGTAAACCGTCCAGGTGTCTCCTGTTCAAATTTGATCTGAGACGTTTGAGCATTTATAGCGTTAGAAGCACACACATGCACAATATATGAGCATGTTTTCTCATCTCACACCAGTAGACTGATTAAAATCCTTCATTACAATGTAACAGGGATATATATATATATATATATATATATATTCATTTAACAAGCAATTTTATAAACTGTCACTTAAAATGAACAAGCACAAGTAATATCATAAAGTAAGAACAATACAAAAATACACATTTTAAAGGGGTTGTTCAGTTCAGTCTGTCATTATTTACTCATCCTCAGATCTTTCCAAATCTTTATGACTTTAATTTCAAATATCAGAATATTTAAACTGTTTTTGTTCATACAAAGCAATGTTATTTTAGTAATATTTTTTACTATATATATCTTTTGTGTCCTGCAGAAAAAAGTCATTTGGAACAACATAAACAATATACAACAAACGATACAATAAGTATCGCTTTTTATTTCTCCTCTTTCCTATTACTTGTTTCGCTTCTGTTTCAGTTTTTATAACCATTTCTTACTATGTGTAAGTAAGTCGTTGTTATTTTTTAGGATTACTGATAAACTACTGTCATTTGATTTGTATTATTTGTATTTGTTATTTATTTAAATTTTAGTTACATTATGTCTGAATTTATATAAGGGTAAGTATCCGATGTCAGATGTGTAATTTTTGGATGAACTATCCCTTTAAGAGTAATCAAGAGTAGTTATAAAGCTAGTGCAGAAGTTTAAATAGATATACATTTAACATTTGAATTTGAAATGAACCAAACAGTCATCATTAACTCCAGCATTTTCTTCAAGCTGTTTCTCTCACCAGTCAAGAGTGTCAGGTGAACATCTGTATGCTGATGACCGCATGAACCTCTTGTAGAAACTTGACCTTTCCATGCAGACAGAAGAGCCGTCATATGAGAGTTTATTTCATCCAAAAACCAACCATACCACGACCTCTTTCCAAGCTATTATGATACGTTTTAGTATTATATCTGACGTTACTGCATTCTTAAATCTCTTTGGTTAAACAAAAATTGAAATTAAACCAGGTTCTAAATCAATTATGTGAGAACGTTTCAGTGCACTAAGCCAAAAAAAGCCTACAAAAGTACTACAGACAAAGTGTGGCTTCCACCTGGCTACTGCTATGTCGTCATGATACTCACACTCTATTGGTCAGCCTGAGGAATCCCTTCCCAGGATACAGCAGATTAAATTGGATTGTAGGGAATCTGATGGCAGAGATCATCCGTGACACAGGCTTTCAGTAAATACCCGACTGACACGTCTTTTCAGTCACATTTCAGACGGTTTGTGTCTGCGGGGCAGGTGGTGCGGTGTGTGCTTTTGTTCCATTTATGCTTTGTGGGATCAGATTTGAGATTATTTTCGAGACCTAGGTAAAAAGGCCACCAGTCGCAGGATCTGGGAGTGGTGCATTATGGGGCTTTGAGGTAGACAGACATGGCTATAAATAAATCCCCAATCTGCAGACACCAGACAATGAGCAGAAACACTCGGACACGTGAACACCCAAAGCACAGCTCTCTCTCTCAGAGGCCCTACAGGTGTTTAGGCTGTTCCTGATAAGATAACCAAATAAATGTCATCTATCACAGTAATGACAGATTATGACTGAAAAGAAAAATCAGATTGTGTTTGAGATAAACAAACATTGTACAGCAAGGCACTGGTGTATAGCTCCATCTGCTGGACAGTTACAGCACTTTCCAGAGCTTGTTCATCATGTTTATTATAGGTCAAATATGATGGCTCAGTGAAAATAAAGTGTCACAAACAATCGAGGTCAACAGTGCCAACAATTACTTTAAACTAAAATAGGCAGACATTTCTATCAACCTCTCTGTATCGTGCATATGTCTATATTAGAGTGGTTTGATGCTGATTAGCTTAACGCACACAGTTTGGTAATACTGACACCTAGCGCAGCATCAAGCAAAAGCAAAGGTTTTCATTTTCCGAGGCTATCGTAAAATAGTCAAAAATTATACATTTATTCCATAAGTGAAAAGTGTTTAATAAAAGGGAACCTATCAAGATAAAGTGAGTGTTCAGTTTGTCATGATGTGACCAAACGTCTGCCCCCATTATTGTAAATTGTGATTTCAAAGATATTTTGTGTGAAGTGCTATTCATTTCTTTATGTGTAAAACGTTTTACTGAGGAGAAAAATGTCTATGTGAGCCTTTAAATCCTAGCATCCCTCCTCAGCCCACTACATTACTATATCCCATAATCATACTCATTAATAGACTGGCTAAATCGATAGGCTATGTTTATTACGCAATAAGACCCCTTTTCATAAATCTGATGTCTTTTTAAACACTGGCCGAAAGATTTGTTATGCTATGTTATGATACTTTATAAATGTGAAAAGTCCTTTAATCAACCATGGTTTTATTATATTAAAACTGCAGTAACAATTTTTGGTGAATTGATTACTATTTGTATAACCACAGTTTTACTACTAATACCATTGTTAAACTACGGTTAGTGTGGCAAAACCATGGTTGATTTGTGGTTATCATGGTTTAACTATAGTAACCTTTTTTTTTTTTTTTAATAGTAAAACCATGGTTCATTTTCATAAGGGTTGGCCTTTTGGCACATAACGTCCTCTACTGGTTCTTCGTTTTGAAACAAAACTGTTTCACATTCTAAATATTTGAGTAAATTTGTGCAAAAGAAAAGTTTCATCCATTCTGGAAACGAATAATCAAAGGACAAACAAGGACGTGCTGATTTCAAAATGTAATTTATTTAATAACAAACAAAATGATCCTCTGAAAATCAATAGCAATTTACAGTGAGCGGACAGCTCTAAAATGTGAAAATTACAAATTAGTTTTAATAATTACTATACCAGTGTCAATACACACAACCAGACCTTACTTAACACTAAGAATAAAATAGGACTGTTCATTTTAGGAATGAATGGTGAAAAGCAGCAGAATTTTCAAAAAAGTCTTGAGCATGATTTCACATTGAGTTGGTTGAAAACATCGCAACTAAATCTGATAACTATTTTTTAATCAATCACACAGTTATCAAAGTAATACCTATCAAATAAGATCATGAGAAATGGAAAGAGCGTTATCTATAAACATGGCAGGAACTGTACATGGGCTCCAGGGCCGTTTCAATTCTCCTGAGATAAACACAGATTTTCTTATCAAGCTGAGCAATGAGGATTTGTGCTTGTGGATGTCCTGAGTCCTGAGGCCCCAGCACAGCATGAGCACTGTCCCGACACAGCATTCTTCTAAACACCACCAGATCTGCTACACCTCATCAGAAACCAGACTGCTGAACCAGAATTTTACAAACAATATAGAACTATTTTTATGGCTCAGGTTTAACTAAGCATGGCAGGAAACTAATGAGTAAAATCTCAATCTTCATGATTCTTCAGTCTTCAGAGCTGTTGAAACAAGCTCTCTAAAGCAGAAACCACTGGCTGCTCCAGCCAGGATTCATCCATCTCTGAGAGATCATAAAAATATGTGCTAATTATCTAAATTTGTCCAATGATTTAAGGATGTTTAGTGTGTTTGTGTGTGCTTACCATTACATCACTTCCTTTGACTCCTCTCCTTCCTCTCTTCCTGAGAGTCTCTTAAATTGGCTGTCATCCTCGGCTTATAGACACACACATATTCACTTTATAAGGTTTCACCAAATGTTATACATTTATGCAGTGCCAATACAGTTCATGTTTGCATTTAGATAAGGAGAATATTTACCCGATGGCGGACCCTCTACTTCTTCCAGGAGATTGACGGTGGAGGTTGCAGAGCCCAGACTGAGAAGAAGTCAAGGACCAAACACACTACAACTTTAATACCACAGTGTCATATAGCTTCTAAGATGTACTTTAAAACTAGCACTTTTAACTTTGAAAAGTTTACCGTTTAATTCATACAATACACATTACAACAAGCAGATCAAATAATCAGATTTAGACACACATTACATTGAAACTAATAGCTAGACTAAGAAAGATCTAGAAATACAAACATAAGAAGTCCTTCTCTACACAACACACATAGATGCAAACTCCAGGCAGCGACTGTCAGGGCTGGACATGTGAGGATATGACTGGTGTTTGGACAGAGCTCGCTTTTTGGACTTCTTTCTTCTGGTCTTCTCCGAGAATGATCTAGCAATTTCAAAGAGCTTCTTCTTTGTAGCTGTAGGTAATAATACAGCGGTCAGAAAGGGGCGAGAGCTCAAGCCATTACATGAGTTTGCTGTTAAACTTCAGGTCTGTGTTTTCTTACATTTGCCCATGTGCTTGAGTTTCTCCAGGAATACGGCATCGTCAGAGACTGATGAACAGGCCTCCTCAGACCCCAAGCCACAATTATCACCTACATCAAGAGTTAGACATGAGCGTGTCAACTTATGACTGCTCACATTTACAATTCTCCTTTGTGTTCTGCAGATGATAACAGAAATTTCATCTTTTGGTTAACAGAACAATTTAGCCTTATAATAAAAAAAATAAATGCAGCAAAAGTGTAGAATATGGTCCCTGTAGGCCGTTATCTGAGTTTTGTTTTACGTGTCGGCACAGACAGGTTCAGATTAAGCTTCCTGTCAGTGTTTGTGTGGCAGACGTGGCTGATGGATGAAGATGAAGGGAATCTACCTTCGGCGGAGTTCTCCGTGCAAGCAGATGAATGACCACACTGTGTTTTCTCGCACCTCTGACGATCTAAAACACAGCAGGTAAGAGGGTCACTGAGGGCAGGTGAAGATCAGCCGCTCCAGAGTGAGTGGAGTGAACAACACAACACTGCACACAGTGAGTGAGGAATGAAAGCTGTTCTCCCACACACACACACACCTCTGGGGGTTATTTGAAATGCATTTTAGCAGAATGATAGGAGGAATGGTTTACAAATATGAGAATGAAAAACACTGCAAATCTTTTTGCAAATAGAATGGGGATTAAAATTAAGCATGTAGTACTAAATTCAGTTAATTGTGAATTTATTTTGTATGGTGCTATTCATTATACAAATCATTCCAAAAAGCAGGTAAGATGTGGAAGAAATCTTGGAAGGAACCAAGACTTTGAGGGGACCCAAAATATGGTAAAAACTGTGAAAAAGATGCTTGAATGCAATGTTGGTTTATGAATTCTTTAATATGAATGACGGGTTTTCCTCACATGGAGAAATCCATACATTATTTCATCTTATGTGAAGTATGTTTGAGAAATGAGTGTGACAGTGTGCAATGTGTTTCTGACTACATTTCACTAAACCTTTGGGGGGGGATGTCTGAAAATGTTCCCCATAGTAATGTAATGTAATAAAATAAAATAGAATCCACGTATTGTGAACAATTTTTGGCCTTGTAATTAAAAAAAAAAAAAAATGTTATAACCAAATCTTCTGGTAAAGTGACAGAGTTCTCTCTGGTGTTGTTTGTTGGTCTTCTCCAATCATTTAGACCCCTTTCTGCTTTACATTTTTGCCTTTTCCATAATCCATTTCACTCAGATGTACATCACAATATGGAACACAATGAAATTCGCATTCAGGTCAGCATATACATATGTGTGTGTATGTGTACCTATCTCCAGAGCTATGAGGAAGTCTCTGTTACGCTGTAGCTCTTTCATGAACTCCTGATTCTGCAGGAAAAGGGCTATTCGCTCATCCTCTAAGTACTGTTTCAACTTCCTGTCCTGTTCAGATGACCAAACACCACCTGACAGGGCACTGCTGCTGGACGAAAGCTGCGTCAGGGACGACAGGGAGGAAGAGGAGGAGGAGGAAGGCTGAGACAGGTTGCTCTGAGAACGCTGCAAGAGAAGGAAATTGCTAATTATATTTTTACTGAAATGATGTCAAAAAATCAACCATGAGACAAATGAATTGGCTTTGACATTAACTGAGGTCCTCAAATCAAGATGTAATATGCTTGTTGTTGTAAACTGAAGATTTTTGTTTGTCATTTTGAATGAAATTGTGGCTGGAAAAAAAATGGTATGCATAAAATGCAACAAAAATACATACAGTATGTATGATATGGCCTCTGTAAATAAACAGAGCAAATTTGGACAGATTTTGAATCTGGATCTGAATCTAATTCTTTGAATCTGGGGCTAAATGTTTGTTGATGTAAACATGATATTTAGCCACGATTTGTTATGTTAGATATGTTAGTGGTTTATAAATCCACCTGAAGACTTTTTGACTGCTGAGGCAGGATACGCAGGAAGTCATCAGGGAGGTTGCCTAGTAACGGTGGATTCCAGTTCCTGTATCTGCCGACCTGCTGATGCCCAGGAGGGGGATAATCATCGAACCTGACAAAATGATGAGTACAAAAGAAAACAAATTCTTTTTATGAAACACACTCCTGAAATTAGAAAGGCCTGATGGGATTTTCATGATTTAAATCATTTTTAAGACACTGTTGTTTACTGAGTTCACACACTAATAGGTCAGCAACTAATTTTCCATCCATATATTTTATGAGAATTTTGTAATATTGCATTAAAAAACACTTGATGTAGATACCAATCTGTGCATAAAAATGTATGCACTCTGACCTGCTGATGCCCAGGAGGGGGATAATCATCGAACCTGACAAAATAATGAGTACAAAAGAAAACAAATTCTTTTTATGAAACACACTCCTGAAATTAGAAAGGCCTGATGGGATTTTCATGATTGAAATCATTTTTAAGACACTGTTGTTTACTGAGTTCACACACTAATAGGTCAGCAACTAATTTTCCATCCATATATTTTATGAGAATTTTGTAATATTGCATTAAAAAACACTTGATGTAGATACCAATCTGTGCATAAAAATGTATGCACTCAACTGAGGTGGAATAAATTCCTCAATGCACAACAAAAAACATATGCCTGAACACATGAACAGATCATTTGACTGGAAAAGTGCACTATCCACCAGTAGACCAATGTCATTGTACACCGTCTCAAATGTTGCTTTAGTAATTCTGAAATCCCTAGGCAAAAGTCTGTCATAAAAATGATTTGGTTATCTCACAAAACTGTCCCACACAATCGCATTCCCAAACATCAGATATCTTCCTCCAAACACAAAATAAGCTGACAGTGGTTGTTATTGCATTTTGTCTGTGCGCTCTGAGGCGCAAGTAATTTATTATGTAGGAAGACAGAAGCTACAGTGGCTTCCCCAGTTGCAGCAACTTTTGTTTTTATTATTAATGCTTGCTCCAGTTTCCCAGTAAGTGATTTTGTTCTTTTGAACACTTACGTGATGCGCAAATGTTTCATGCGATATTCAAATTTTCAAGAGTTAAAAGATCAAATTTGGATGGAAACATGGCTTTTGATGTCAGTTTGGATTACAGACATAACTCTGAATAATCAAACAATGTAGTCTTCAAGACTTTGATGCTTTGATGCAGTAACATCAAACTAATAAGGGACACAGAAACCATTTATTCACTAAAGAAAGTGTAAATTTTTTTAATATTTACACAACTGCAGCAGCAGACTAAACTTGAGAAGTAAAGCTCATCAGGACAAACTTTGATGTTGGCTTTTGATGTTGTCTGAAAGAAAAAAATAATAATATATAGTAGTATATAGTTTTAATGTTTAGCATATTGCTAGAATATTTTATCATTTGGCTAGCAAAAGTTACCATGCTGCTAGCGTGTTTTAGCATATTTTAACATTAAACTTTAAATTATATAATTTAGCATGTTATCCCAGGGTAGTTGCTAGGCTTTGCCAGTGATATGACATCTTCAATACCCTCCAGGATAGAGGCCGATATGGGTTTGTCTCTGGCCGATGCCGATGACAATATTTAGAAATCAGGGCAGCCGATGGTCGATATATGACGCCGATATATGAAATGTTACAAATTTGGTCTTAGACGAAGAAGACAAAAAAGAAGAATTGTAGATCAGTATATGGTGGATACACTTTTTATCCAATAAAACGACTTGAACTCTGATGGAAACACATTTACCGAATAAATAATCTTATGTGATTTTGCATCAGCAGATAATGTGATTGGATAACTAGTGGACCAATCTCATTGTAAACCATCTCAAATGTTGTTCTAGTCATTCTGAAATGCCTGAGCCGATTTGGTTTGACGAGGAGGAAGAATAAATAGTAGCTGAAAGTTGTCAAGTCAACATAAAAAGCATTTGAACAAAGTGAATGCAGATACAATATCTCTCTCACATATTAAAGTCTAGTGTTATCATTAGTCATTTCTTCCAATAGGAACCATGAATAGATGTTCTTCTTGCCTGGGTGGTGGTGTGGATGGAACATCTGCGGGATGTTTTCTGTCATAGATGTGCATGTCATAGGAGGGCGGCGCGTAGACGGGTGGAGGCTCCTCATCTGAGCTGTCCGGTTCCAGCGTTCTCTCCAGGATCTGCAGGAGATTCGATGGGAAGATTCTTTTGTGTACCAAGATCTAAAAATGCCAGACTTCTGGGTCTCAATAAAAGTTCCTAGACTCACCTCTGGAAGGATGCTGTCCTCAGAATCCGAGCTGTCATCCGTGGCCTGGCTGTCCAAGCTCATCTGCAGTAGCTGGTCAATGGTGGAGTCGACAGCACCATGGTTGGCCCTCAAGACACACTCGATAACCTCATGCTCCATGCTGGGGAACATCGTCTTAAAGTCGTCCATAGCCTGGCTAAACTCCAAATGCCGGACCTGACGTGGAGGCCTCCTGCTATTGAGCTCTCCTGAGGCAGCGTCACCCCCTCGCGTACCGCTGCCATGGTTACTGTTCGCGTTACTCCGGCGGAAAAGACTGGTCATCATTTATAGCACCTCCCTCCCACTCAAAACTGCCCATCCACCGCAGTAGCTCCACCCCTTGACCTATGCACCGCCTCCGGTCACGCCCGTTATCCACTCATGATGCCCCTGGAGGTGAGCTTCTGTATATAGAGGGGCAGCATTGGACAAACTTTTCTTCTGCTGCTGATAGCTGAGACTCAACCACATTCAGGGCTAGCTGGGATTCCCAGAATGCCTTGCTCTCACTCTCACAGTCACCCTCAAAGCAAAGGACAAACAGCGGCCCACTCCTGAAGACCTACATTAGAACAGCAAAATTTTAACCATTGATATTTCATTCAGCAAAAGGGTTGTTGAAAAAACATGGATATAAACTTTATATATATTTTTTTATATTTTTATTATAAATATTTATATACTTACATGTACTGTATGTATGTATATACTGTATATATATATATATATATATATATATATGTTTATATGTATATACTTAAATGTATGTGTTTGCGAAAATAGTTAAAAAAAACAATTACATGTAGTCTCTTAATGAATATGAACGCTGTTATTTTAGTACTATTTACCATCTATACTATTATAGTATTTATTAATATTTTGAATAAATACTTTTGTTTTTATATTTTCAGTATTTATTTTAATTTTACTTCAAGTTTTAGTAATTGTTATGTGCTTCTGTCTTTCTTGTGTGTCTTTTTAAATATTTCTATATAGGTTTAAATTATTTTTATTTCAGTTTTAGTCATTTTAATAATTCAATACTTTATTTTAATACTTTTAGTTATTTCTTTCAGTTTATATGGAGGGCCAAATTACTCAATTAAATCATTAAATAGATGTTGAAATAAATAAATAAATTGTTAAATACTTAAATACATAAATAAATGCATAAATAAATAAATATTCATTCATTCATTTCCTTCACATTTAATTTTAAGCGTTACGGGACGTGCCAACAAACAACCGTAACCCTGAAAATGAAATGTGGAGCAAATAAATAAATAAATAAATGAACAAATGAATAAATAAATACATATATATGTATTTAATTATTTTATATATATTTAACGATTTATTTATATATTACAACATTTATTTAATGATTTAATTTTGAGTATTTTGGCCCTCCATAAGTTAGTTGCCAAGGCAATAATGTAATTCAAAATGTAAGTTTTTCATCTGACATTTATATTTTGTATTTCAGCTTTATTTCAATAAATGAAAATTACTTTTAATTGTTTTATTTTTAGTTAACAGTACACTCAATATAAGGCACCCAAAACAGCATTAACCTATATTTATTTATTGATTTTTGGTAGATTGTACAGTATTTATTTGCTTTAACATCAGTGTATCAAATAATATAATATAATTCATATTATACAATAAATAGTAGTTAAAATAGTTTCAGATGTGTCATGTGAACAACCCCAAAACAATTATAGAAATGGTTATAGATCTTCAATTTACATCTTTACATCTATTTGAATTTTTTAAGAAAATGTATTATTTTAAATCATAACGCACACACTTATGCACACATATGAATAGCATGAGTCACACAGTGGATGGTACAGTGGCCGAGAGAGCTCAACACGCTGAAACTTAAGAAAACACTTGCAAATTGAAAAAACACCAGCAAATTAAGAAAACATCTTCATCAGTTTGACAACACACGCGCTGCAAATCCTCACAACACATGCAAATGAAGAAACGCTGCAAATCCTCACAACACATGCAAATGAAGAAACGCTGCAAATCCTCACAACACATGCAAATGAAGAAACGCTGCAAATCCTCACAACACATGCAAATGAAGAAACGCTGCAAATCCTCACAACATCCCCATTGGACAACAAATGGATCAGGGTCATTAACAAACAAGGCTTCCATTAAAAGACAGGATGGGTATTAAACTCTTAAAAAGGGTACATTTTGCCCTCACACCATACATGATCGGACACTATGCTCACGTATGTGCAGTGTGCTTCACATGCCCATATATGCATCTATTTCCTGCTTACCGTCTGTCTGCAGAGGAGATGCAGGCTCACACCAAAAGATCCACCAGGAAGCGACTACAGCCAGCAGTATAAACCTTTAGCTCCCATCACAGGCTGCGGGCTCCTCCATAAAATCCGTCATCAGAGAGGTTCGGATATCCCTCGCTCCCATTTTCATCTCTCCACATTAATCTGCACCCAAAACCAAACAGGCAGTGCTAAATATAGCCACAGACTCTGGCACAGTTCGCCAGCGAGAGCAGGAACAGTAGCAGCTTAGTGATGTGTCTCTGAAGAAGAGCGGCTGTGCCCTTGTGAATAACATACAGCATAGACTGACGTCATCCATAGTTAATACACCCGCTGAGCTGATATTGGTTAAGCAGGGGTCCGTGTGACCCACTGAGATGGATTAGAGCTGGAGGAATGCCACACAGAGCAGGATCTGATTGATAATTGTGAAAGGGATCTCAGCACGGTGGAGGTGTCACCATAATGGGGGCAATCATCGTTCTGGTGCAACACAGGAAAGCTTGTTATTTTTAATTACGGCCATCATGGACAGTCAATGTGATCAGAGTCTGCTGGTCTTGTCTCCATGGCAACCCCCACGACTATCAAACCCACAGTCTTGGACCCTCGGAGGAAGTGATTCATTAAGGAAGCTCAGAATAAACCACAGCAGTGATGTTTAAAGCACCGAACCCAATTAAAAGCTTCAATCAATCTTGCTGTTTGTAACACACCTCATATGAAATCAATGAAAGTCAAAGTAAGTGTAAAGCTTTTCGGATACAAAACTCAAGCTGAATTGAATTGGGTGAAGGTCAAACCTGGGGTCAAGAAGTCATAGAATTCACCCAAAAATGAAAATTCCGTCATTTACACACTTTCATTTGGTTTCAAAGCTGAATTACATTTATACTGAACGTACTTCTCCTGTAATAAGCTATAAAGGCCCGTTCACACCAAGAGCGATAACTATAACGATAACTTTATTAGCGTCGACATGCATAATAACGTTCTGTTCATAACAAGCGCACTGCAGTTTTGTTGTCTGCTGTTTTAAATGCTTTAAAGCAGGATATTCTGAATGGCTATCAATGTTTTTATCATTCATTAGCTGAAAAATAAATTATTGTGAAGGTGATTCCAACTATAGGCCTATCGATCCTCTATATTGTTATCGTTATGGTGTGGACTCTGCTGTTCCTTTAAACTTAGAACAATGTTTAAAACTATATCTATATAAAGTGTTAAATAAATAAGGAATAATTGACGACGGGCCGCTGAATTATTAGAAAAATAATGCACGCGTCGTGGCCGCATCACCACCTCGGGTGTGCATTATTTTTCGAATAATTCAAGGGCCCGTCGTCAATTATTCCGCATATACTACAGTTACCACACCTCAAGACATCGATCAGATGATATATTTAAAGGGATTCGTCCGGTTTTTATACTTAAATCGCTATTGTGAGTAGGATTATTTCTTCCGCATCTCATCCAACGCCTCTTTTGCTAGTTCCAAAACGTAATTTTAAAGCTGGTAATGGAGGCTTGAGCCGTTGATAGCATTCTAATGCAGTTATTAATGAAGGTATTAGAAAGAGAGCGAGAGAGACAGAGACACAAAGAGAAAGAGAGCTTGTGTGAATGAGGCTACCTCTGTGCGTCCCTCAACAGTGTTCTGCAGCAGCGTCTGTTATTACCTCGCTAGTGAGAAATGTCATGTGTAGCCTTTAAGTTGCTACACTATATAGGCTAACTGATCAAATCGTCAGGGCAGCGCTGACAACACCTTTTTGTGCAAACTGCGTGACCGTAGTGTGCGTGTGCGAGCACGTGTGATTGCAGTAATTCCTGTGTGCTGTATTGGTACTGTACGCTAATTTCCGTTATTACAGTTAACTATGCGAAGTGATATGGAACTGTAATGCGGTCAAGAGAGCTGCCTGGAACTACGTTCGCCGAGCGTTTCCCTGAAAATAATTGCACGCCTCAGAACGTTCGTCAGCCAATCAGATTCAAGCATTCAACGGCCCCGTAGTAGAACTATAGTTATCATTCTTTGTGTGAACGGGCCTTCAAAACGAGTCAGTGAGTTGAACTCAAGAAATGAATCAGTATGTTTTGTGAATCAATCATAATGTATTGGATCAACTGATTTGATTCAATAGAATGATTCATACGACTTCAGAAGATATTCTATTTTATTGTGCTTTTGAAGCTTAAAAGATTCAGTATCTGTTTGGTGTTATTGCATGGAAAACATGTAATTAATTCTCATAAAATTTACGTTTTGTGTTCTATGAAAGAAAATCTGTTACACAGGTTCACTTTAATATTTACACTCTTAAAAATTGTTGCAGAAGTGTTTTTTTTTTACAGCAATGCCATTTTTCATCTTTTAGTGAATAACTAAAATAACTATTTATTTGCCTTGGTATGAAGATCATTTAATAGCTTTTTGCACTATATAGAACCTTCTGTGGAATGGAAAGTTTCTATGGATGTTAAAGGATCTTCACAGAAGCAAATAAAGAATTTTAAGAGTGTAGGGTGAACAAATAATTTCAGAATTATTATTTTTGAGTGTACTATTCCTTTAAAGGTTGAACAAATCTTTCATGACTCCTTTTGGAACAGGACAGAAGTGTGAAGCTGGCATATGTACGACAGCCCCATCATTAATAATAAGCTACAAACAAAGTTTTAATGAAATTTAGAAGGCAGTCCCTGCCAAAATGATCCCAGTCTCCCTTTCTTTATTACTGTGCCAAATTTGGATGCTTTTCTGGCTGATTCAGTGGCCAAGAGAAGAGTGCAATCCAAGCGGGCAGATTGTGGTGTCTGACAAGGAGAGCTGTTATCACCACAGGAGTCGTCTGTGGGTTAGTGCTTATGTCAGAACACACGCCTGCTGTCTATGTATAAAAGTAGCAGAATGTTCACTGGCACCTCTCTACACTATGCAATCATTAGCTCTAATGGGGCCAAACCCATGAGGATAAATTCCAGCAGTCGCTTACACACTTCCAGGATTTTTGTTTTAATTAATTTTATAGGAACAGAACGGAAAATAAATCTATTGCAGATTGCATTGAAAGGAATTAAGCATTTTCCCAAAGGCTTTTGTAATGTTCAGCCTAAAGAAAAGGGGAACAGTTGCATAGAGTGCACAGAACCAAAAGCATGAGCAGGGCTTTGACACTGTCCTTGTTTCTGACCTGGTTCCACTGAGATAGAAGGAGAGGACAGGAAGGAACAGTGCAGAGGGGAGGTGACAGTCCAGTACTTTCACAATGCCGTTTAGACTAATACTGAGGCAATCAAGTTGCGCATCACCTTTAAATACCATAACAACTTATTATTCCATCCAAAAATGATAATTAGCTGAAATTTGTTCACCCTCAGGTCATCAGTTTGTTTCTTCATCTGAACAGATTTGAAGAAATGTAGCATTATATCACTTGCTCAACAATGGATCCCCTGCAGTGAATGGGTGCCGTCAGAATGAGAGTTCAAACACCTGATCAAAACATTACAATAATCCACTCCAGTCACTCATTTAACATCTTGTGAAGCAAAAAGTTGCATGTTCATAAGAAACTTGATGTTTTTATCAGCTGTCTGAACTCTCATTATGACGGCACCCATTCACTGCAGAGGATCCAATAGTCCATTTTCTTTTGAAGAATGCTGGTAACCAAGTGGTTTCATGTCCCACTGACTTCCATAGTATGGACAAAAATACTATGGAAGTCAATGGGACTTGAAACTGTTTGTTTACCAACATTCTTCAAAATATTGTTTTATGCTCCACAGATGAAAGAAATGCAATGCAAAAACTTGGAATGACATGAGGGGGAGGGGAGTAAATAACGACAGAATTTTCAGTTTTTGGGTGGACTATCCCTTTAATAGAATCTCTGCTCTTAAGCCATAATATAATGAGACTAAATAAAGTCAGATATTAGAGGCACATGGTCACTTAGACTCTTGGAAGTAAATGGATCCCATCCCAAAATCCTTTGGGAGGCCAAACATCATAGGACACTATAACAGAAACCAAATAGTAGGCTACTGTGGAAAATGTCATATCCTAAAATGTCACATAGGCCTAGTATTCTACTTTTTCTAGTAACATTTTTTATACCAAACTACTATTTCTCTGAAAGCAAAAAACGTGCAAAAAAGTAATACCTCACAGTATTACATAGTAAACTATTATTATTACTACTATTATTATTTAATTGTTACATGTAGACATAAATGGACCAGAGACACTATTATAATAATAGAATTATAACTGAACAGCGCTTCTGTATTTCATTTAAAATAAATAAATGCATAATCAAATCATTTGGTGGGGAGAGGAGCAGTAGAATGAGGATAAGAGCTTACCAGCTGAAGAGATCGGCTCTGATCACATTACTCGATGTTGCATTCCTCCATGTTGTACATAAACCGTGATACTGAGTGCGTGACAGCAGCAGACCGCGGCGTTCACAGCGCGTCAGATGGAAGCTCTTTATCGGCTCTTGAGCGCTTGAGCTGTGGGCAGATTATCCTCCTCTCACCGCGCTCAAGAGCAACCTAGCGGATACAGGTGAGTAAAGCATCCCATTCATTCCAAAAGATCAAATCAACTCCTGAGGCCCTATTACATAAATATACATTTATGTATTCAATTCTATGAAAATATGTTATAAAGTATTATATTCATCAAGAATCATAAAGAAATTGATATTTTTACTCAGCATGGATAAATTAATTTGATCAAACATAACAGCCAAAAATTTTATTTCAAATAAACGCTGTTTTATGAACTTTCTATTCATCAAATAATCTTCAATATAAGCCTAAATGTATCAAGGTGTCCACATAAATATTAAGCAGCACAACTTTTAATATTTCTTGAGCACCAAATAAACATGGAATGATTTCTAAAGGATCACGTGACACCAAAGACAGGAGTAAGCTAATGGCTATAAAAATCAGCTTTGCCATTACATGAATAAATGACATTTTAAATTATTAATATATTAATCAATAATATATTCAAACAGAAAACAATTATTTTAAATTGTAATACTATTTTACAGTATAGTAAAAATATTTTAAAATCTTGCAATGTACTCACACATTTTAGAATTCTAAATCATATTTATTAGTTTTCTGTCATTACAATATCACAAAATCATCTATTAATAATAAGAATAAACGGTTCTTCTGCCTAACAATTCTTTCTTCTACCGAACAACGCAGCTTAGATGAATGTTTACTGGCTCTTTTGCGATTTATTTAGTTCAGATGCAAAAGCCTCAGGTGTAGTAATTGTATTTTAATGGCAATGAATAGGTTCTTTTGAAATAACTGAACATAAACTTATATATATATAAGGCCAAACGTTAACACAGAAAACCCCTCAATAATATAGCTTATAGAGGCGATATATAGGGTGTAACCACTTGTTTTCGGTTTCAATAATAAATCTAAATTATTTATTACTTAAGTGCTCAATGTTGCTGAAACATCCAAATGAGATGTTTTCATGAATATGAATGAACGAAGAGAAATGCTCTTCAAATACTAATACAGCTGCCTGTACTTACAGACACGGGCAGATGGTGAACAGCGGCGCCCTGAAAAAAGCGCAATTGTTCTTTCAATGGGGCTCATTGTCTTTTATCCCCGTTGTGAGGCGACAGTGAGGGGTGAAACAAAAGACCTTGAACCCGAAGCACCTGCTCATGGACACGAGATTAAACCCAGGGCTGATTGTATTGGGATCCCAGGGGCGCGTCACGCCTGATCAAATGATGCGGCAAGTGTGAGGCCGTGAACACGCACCAATGGAGCCAATGCACATGGAAATGAGTCCTAACGACCAATATGAGATTTGCGAAGAAGAAAAAAGACAGCATGTAAGATTAAGGAACTAGTGTGGGGGGAGGGGAACACTGGAACAGGGCCAGATGGAGAGCCATGAATTAGAGATGAAAGAGGATTTTTCTTTTTTGGGTGAGGTTCATGCATTGAGAAAACACTTATATGTGATGTGCAATGCCTGATGCTGTACTGATGCAAAATCAAGTGTTGGGCCAAAATATCTGGCCCATTGCCTAGGCAGAGAGTGCCCGCTGGTCTTCTGTATTCCCATTGGCCAGACTCCGAATTTCCCATGTAACTTTACAAAGAGACTTCTAGCAAAATATTTAACGCATACTAAGGGCAAGTTATTTATTTTCATTGGTTCAAGTTAAAAAATATAGATGTGAATCATTACCCTACATTTTTTTAATTGGATGAATGAAACATTTTTTTCAGTGCATATTTGAGCAGCAAAATCATTTTTTTTGGACCAAAATAATTTGCATTGAGATTGCATTGATAAAAAGGGCCTATTAAAAATCTGAGCGTAATTAGAAATAGAAATAGAAAGGAACATTAAGTGCCTAGAAATCATTTCAATACTGTTACTTCTTGATTTTCCATGAATGCAGAGAACCTGTCAAACAAAGGTACATCTGTGTGAAGACAGCAAGAAAGTTATAAAAGATTAACGTTAACATGAGGTATCAGTTTTGCCATGCAGACAAACGTCTAGATCAGGGTTTCTCAAATCTGGCCCACGAGAGCCACTTTCCTGCAAAGTTTAGCTCTAACCCTAATCAAAAACACACCTGAGCATGCTAATCAATGCCTTTACGATCATTAGAAAAATAGTTTGATCAGGGTTGGAGCTAAACTTTGCAGCGCTTTGGCCCTTTAGGGCAAGATTTGAGGAACCCTGGTCTAGATGGAGCTTTTCCAAATTTATGCAATAAATTTTGGCACTGTTGAAAATAAATGCTGGTAGATCGTTCTCAAACGCTTGTTTTACAGTTTTTTTTATTTATTTAGACAACCCAAATAAAAGGCACATAAACATTGCGCATGTTTACATAATTATTTCGGACAAACTTACATTTAAAAAAAATGTAGGAATGTTTTTCTTTCTGCTACTCAGAAAGCCTAGTCTTCATATATACAAAATTACCATTGTTAATGTACTAATACAAAAGTTTTATAAAAGGTTATTTTGCTTTTCTTTGCTCACATTGTCTATCTGTACTCTAAGATCTTCTGAGCTAAACACTTCTGTACAAACATATACATTCAACCGCTTTCACAGGGGCGCCAAAAATCATCCAGTTCATCAACTGAATCAAAACAACTTTAGACTCAATTCGAAAATGTTCACTTCATTGGATTTCATAATTGGTTTCAATTTGGCAAATAAAAGAGGCAATTGTAATGCATCCACCATGAAATACATAAACGTGCATTCTCGCTTTCCCACAAACTATACTATGGAAACATGCTTTTGTTTGTTCTAGTGTGACGGGAGAATCAAATGCCTCACACACGCACACAAACACACACGGATCAGGGATTCATTGTGTCTGATCAGGAAAAAGCATCCCCTTCCTGAGACTCAGTGCTGGGGTGGACGGCATCCATTCAGACACTCCAGATCGTCACATCACAGGCTGTGGCGCGAAAACTACCCACAAAAAATTGCATACAAGTCAAATAATTAGTGTTTTCACTACAGCAGTCTCTTCTCTCTGGCATCTGCTCCATGCACAGGAAGCATGTAGAGGAAGTGGCCGACATAATGTACCTAAATTCTCTCACATTGGTGGCAGAACTGTGTAGAGAGTGACAGCTCACTCTTCCTACTTATACTGTTGTGTTTTATTAACACAAAATTATTAAACTCTTTAGTCCACACAGACAAGCACACAGTGTTGAAATTTCCAGAGCCAGTCTGTAAACATTCTCCATTATTTCAGACTGAAGACGTACTTTTATGTTAAATGGTGCTTCTGGGCTTTAGCAACAGGAAAATACTAATCATCTACAAAGGCCTAACTACATAAAACAAAACAAAAACAGAAAGAAAAATAAATTCTACAACAAACAGAAAAAGAAAACTTACAAAAACATAAAAATGGAAAATAAAAAAATAAAACCTTTAAAAAAAAAATCAAAGTGAAATATATTTACAAACAAACATGAATAATTCCAAGGCATTTTCCTGGAATTATTCATGTTCATTTCCCATTCTCAGCCCATTTCCTTTGTAGAACATGTTTTTAGAACAGGGATCTTGCAAACATCAAATAAAAATATAAAAAACAAGGTTATAAAATATTTTTAATAAGCAAAAGTCCAAATTAAAACTTTAAAGGGCATCAACGCGGTACTCCAACCAATTGATGGCGCTGTTATAAATGAGCTGGTTACCTACAGCTCATAAACCCTGTTCCAAAAGAAAGAAAAATAAATTCTACAACAAACAGAAAAAGAAAACTTACAAAAACATAAAAATTGAAAATATAATAAAATAAAACCTTTAAAAAAAAAATCAAAGTGAAATATATTTACAAACAAACATGAATAATTCCAAGGCATTTTCCTGGAATTATTCATGTTCATTTCCCATTCTCAGCCCATTTCCTTTGTAGAACATGTTTTTAGAACAGGGATCTTGCAAACATCAAATAAAAATATAAAAAACAAGGTTATAAAATATTTTTAATAAGCAAAAGTCCAAATTAAAACTTTAAAGGGCATCAACGCGGTACTCCAACCAATTGATGGCGCTGTTATAAATGAGCTGGTTACCTACAGCTCATAAACCCTGTTCCAAATGACACACTTGGCCCTTATGGTCCTCCTCTTTGTCTTCCTCACCAAAGTCCACACTTTGGTGAAAAAATGCTGCACAGAATGTAGAGTAGTAGTCTGCTGTGAAGTCCGCACCATTGTGCAAAGGGGGCACACTTGAGCACCTTTCGCAATCGATAAATGACAAATGGGATACTCTTCATGGACTTTGTAGATCCGCACAAACAAAGGCCATGGGATAGTAGTGACCACATCAAGTACGCCATTTGGAACACATCTTGATATTCATATTTAGTAGGGATGCACTGATACCACTTTTTTCAGAACGAGTCCAATACCGATACCTTTATTTTTGGTACTTGCCGATACCGATACCTGTATTTTCACAGCATTTGATTTTTTTTTAAATATTGGGTACAGAAACAAAATAATAATAATATTATGAATCATGTTAGTTGGCTTCATTTATCAAACAGATATTTCCTTCAGTTATTTACACACTAAATTATACCTGTTAAAATGTATTGTATAAGCTTTTGTTACTTTCACTGTTCATTTTAATGGCGCATTAGAGCAGCTCAATTCAGTAATCACAAGACGTTTTCCTAAAATAATGCAGGGAACCACTCGTTATACATTATACAAGCATGCGCGTACAAATTTGGTGATGTAATTTGCATCACACGAACTGTAAGGATTAAAAAGGATACTTTGGCCTTTAAAGCAAGCTCAACATACGCAGTGCGCACACGTTTGTATTGGTGCAGAATGAGACAGACACTTAAAGCCTTTTGCGCATTTCAC